TGAGTGTGTGAGGATTAATAGGTCTATGGTGCTTTGAGAGCTTTGCTGCTATTATGGATAGTTTCCCCATTTTGCAGATTAGGAAACTGAAGCACAAAGAGATTGTGACCTGCCCACCATCACACTGAATCGGTAGAGCTAAGAATACAACACAGGAGCCCAGTCCCAGGGTCTAACCCTTAGAGCACACTTCCAAAGTGGTGTCACCACAGAACTGGACAACTTCTTAGAATGAATGGGGGAATTTATGATAAGACAAAGGAAGTGAACACAATTCAAAAAGTACATAAACCAAGTGGCAGTTTAAGTGCTTAGCAAGTCTTTACTCCCACTGTGATGGAATTATAAACAATACGTTGGTTATGTACAATAGCCAAGGCTTTCAAAAGTGCGTAGTGATTTTAGTAGCCCAACGTGAGACATCTGAAGGAGCCCTAAGTGTCTGGGAGCAGCTACTATTAATTTTTCTTTACCAGTGACTCAAATAAGAAGCACCTAATTGAGTTATACAGTCAATGCACACAAGTCAGAAATGGCATATGAGATAACATATTTAATAGGGCTGTCAAGCGATTAAAAAAATTAATCGCAATTAATCGCGTTATTAAACAATAACAGAATACCAATATTTAAATATTTTTGGATGTTTTCTACATTTTCAAATATATTGATTTTAATTACAACACAGAATACAAATTGTACAGTGCTCACATGAGGTGAATTGAAAATACTATTTCTTTTATCGTTTTTACAGTGCAAATATCTGTAATAAAAATAATAATATAAAGTGAACACTGTACACTTTGTATTCTGTGTTGTAACAGAAATCAATATATTTGAAAATGTAGAAAAACATCAAAAATATTTAATAAATTTCAATTGGTATTCTATTGTTTTACAGTGCAATTAATCGCGATTAATTTTTTAAATCATGATTAATTTTTTTTAAGCTAATCGCATGAGTTAACTGCATTTAATTGGTAGCCCTAATATTTAATATTACTTCATAGCTATTAAAAGCCTCCAGTGAAATAGAAATTGAAGACTGAATAATAAAGACACTTCATCATTTATCTATATCCAGCAGGAAATCCCATTATATCAGGTAGCAATAGGGATTAAAAAGTGTTTAAAGAGGCCAGAAGAGAAAGTCAAGGACAAGTAATTAATTTGGAAATATTAATCTCTTCCATTGTCTAGTGGGAAGTGCTCTACAGACACTGGCTCTTGGGAAAGAAATTTTTCAAGTGATTAAACTGCTGACCATAAAAGTGATGGCAGAATATTTAGCAAAATAGGGAAGGTGGCAGGATTCTGACAAATTATTTGAGAACTAGGAGCTGCTTGGATGGTCAAAGAGGCAGGAAATATTATAGTGCCAGGGCTTTTGAGTCTAAATGCAACATGTTCAACAGAGTCAAACTTGAAATGGCAAAATATAAGGCACACTTGGTACTGTAAACTTAATTATATAAAGCAAATATGCTGATAATGCATTAGAAAAAAAAACACAGGCAGGGGGTCAAAGTCCATATGCAGGAATTCAGGGCTTTGTCTTACCCACCCATGTCCCGATTTTTCACACTTGCTATCTTGTCTCCCTACTTAGGCCAGGAAATGTATAAGAATTGCTCATCCTATCGAAAGTCTGTAATGCAGTATGTACTCACCGCCCAGCCAATTTATGCTTAATCCTTATTTTGCTTGTTCAGCATTTATCTTCTGTTTGACAAGTGTTGCAAAAACAAATGTAGAAGAGCTTTGCTGCAGTAACATATGCTCCAATGAAAGCTTCGGTTTTATATATTACCACCTTATCAATAAAATTTCAGTGCTGCATTAAAATAAATTCTTTGCAGTAATTTAAAGCGATTAATACGGTAAAGCACATCCTGAAAACTATATTGCTGTGAATAGGTTTTTAGGTAAACAACGTATATCCTCTCTGTGTGTAAGCTTCACCCCTTTCTTAGGGCTGCCGAGGTGGGATAAACAATAACAGTATGTAGAATCATGGAATCGTGGAACTGGAAGGGACCTTGAGAAGTTAACTAGTCCAGTCCCCTGCACTCGTGGCAGAACTAATTAATGCTAAATATCAAGTCCCAATCAGGACTCCCTCTGTTTTAGCCTCTAGTATATTATTATATGTCCCTAGCTTGGGTTCTTCTGGTAGCTGTTCCAAGCACCTTATGTCAAAATTAAATGGGTCCATTAAACATGCAGTCAGCTGAGAAAGCAACTCAAAACCAATCAGTTTAGAAAACAAGCCCCAAATCTGGCCATAAATGCTGCAGATTCATACTATTCAGTAAACAGATTCCTTTCACCATGAAAGACTGACTGGATCGCACGTCTGCACTGTTAAGAGAATATTTTGTAGCAGGCACAGATAAACTGTATGCATCAATGCATGCCATAACCTTTCTTCAGGAGCAAATAAAAATAGAAAAAAATTACCACATATCCAATATTTTAGGCCATCACAGGTTAATTGGCGAGGGATGTGACTGGTGACACAAGAGTATGCTCAAGAAAGTTGTCTAGCAACCAGGGCCGGCTTTAGGTTTTTTGCTGCCCCAAGCAAAAAAAATGTTTGGCTACCCCCCACCCCAGCCCTGGGCTACCCCCTGCACCTCCCAGCTGCCCCAGCCCTGGGCTCTCCCCCCTGCCGCCCCAGCCCTGGGCTCTCCCCCCTCCACCCACACCCCCTGCTGCCCACCAATGCCCCCACCCACCCACACCCTGCCACCCCAGCCCTGGACTCTCCCTCCTCCACCTGCACCCCCCTGACACCCCAACTCTGGGCTCTCCCCCGCCAACTGCACCCTCTTTCTGCCCCAGCCCTGGGTCACTGGTAACTCACTCCCAGGGCGGGTCATTCAGCAGGAATTCTAGATGTGCACAGAACACAAGACAGGATTGGTTCCCAAGTGGAACAATTTTCAGCTTGTGTGATTGGAGGATATCTGGATGCATATTATAAGACTGTCCTACATAAATGAGGAAAAGCTGAGGTGCTATTATTCTTTTGTTCCACTCTTTGTTTCTATGGGGAATTTGCCAATGCAATATCACTGTCTTCCTTTTAAACAAATAAAACTAAAAAAAAAAAAAAAAGGCAATGGCTGTTGAAAATAGCAATTCCAGTCCTAATAACCACTGGGAAGCATTTCTTGCTCAATTTTATCCTACTTTTTCTACAGCAAATTACAATGGATCAGTATATTTGATTTGGGAGAAATGAAGTAACAGCTGCCCAAATTGAGCTTGAGCCCTCCTGAATGTTGAGGTGTTCAAATCTGGAAGGCAGGTGCTAGATTCTCTTTCTGAATATTAGCTAAATCTGGAAAGGAAATGTCAATTTCTGCTTCCATGTCTCAGAAGTGGAAATCCTCCTAAGTGCCTGGTACTGTATCTAAAGCTGCCCAGGTCCAGAGCCTCCCCTCCCTTACTTTTCATTTTAAATTCTAGTGGGATCCACGTACCTCCCTTGCTAGGCTTCAAACAGAGAGGGGCCCTGTCCATTTAGTCCACCCAATTCTTTCTTTGGGGGATGCAAGGTGAGGTCACACCAGTATCCCTAATCCAGGCTGGGCATGTCTTCTGAAGGGGATCTCTAGGGCAAAGCCTTCTACTCCTTGGGCACACTTGTTCCCCGTTCACAGTGCCACCACTTCTAGCAGTGAGCTCTCCCTTCACAGCAAGCTGCAGCATGAGGTTTCAGCTACCATACTCCCTCCCCCTTCCTTTCCTGTTGATAGCGGCCAAGGGAATGCTGGGAAATGTAGTTCTTTGCCTGCTCCAGGGCTGGCTCTATAGGCAGGGAGCTAACCAAGGAACTACAGCTCCCAGAGCCCCCTGTTGGTTCTCAGCTCCCAGGCTGGATCCCTTCCGGCTGCCGCCCCTGAAAATGGGCTGCCCCAAGCACCTGCTTGCTTTGCTGGTGCCTAGAGCCGCCCCTGCTAGCAACATACCAATGTGATTAGAATAGTGTACCTGATTTACAGTGATTTATTCCTCTGAACTACAGGATGCAGTAACAACCGTTGGTGCTGACAAAGTGCATTGCTACTGGCAACAATGTGTGTTCACGGCTAAGTAAAACGAGGACATTGGACCGACAGTTTCTATGAACACCCTTGTCTTGCAGATATAGGTTTCTGCTTAAGAACTAATTGATGATCTTTCAATGCTGTGCACTCCCTCTGGAACAGGGAAAGTTCCCCTTTTGTGTCAATGTATATCTTGATGTTTACATTCAAAGAATTCTCTGTAAACAAAAATTGGAGGTGAAGCAGAACCAGTTTTGTGGGGGTTCACATGAGATGGGACCGGAATCCAAACCACTTCTGGTTTTGCAAAATCAAAGCCGAGAGTTAATACTTGTTGGGACAATATAGCAGAGGAGCCCAGGGCTACAGATATGCTCCAGAAGATGGTGGTCCCCCCTCATATGGTCTTACTTCTGGAAGCTCACTGAAGCAGTGGCCTGCATTAAGGACAAAGTACCTAATTTCATTCCAACAGTCTATAAAGGACACAGCAATGTCCATTCTCCTACAGGAGTGAACACAAAACAGTTCAATACGTTACTTGCAGATTTTACCTGGCAAGAAGCCAGAAGCCCCAAAGTGCTTAATGCTCAGTTGGCTAACACCAGGATACGTATAGCTGTTAAATTTTTGGAAAGGAAAACAAGAAGAGCTTTCCCATGTCCTTTCACCCCAGGATGTACCCATACATTACATTGCACTTAGCTGAAGAAGTGTGAAAGCCCATCTAATTTTAGCAGATCAGTACAGCAGGTAACAACCATCCTTCCCTATGTCCTCTTCAGAGGAAGCAGAGGACCATTTTCCAGCTGTGACACAAAACTGGAGGTGAAAATAAAGTAGATTTCCCCCCTTTCACATAACCCTGTAAGTAATGATTGGAAAAGGGCAAGTGGGCAAGTCCCTTAGGATGATGATAGTGAACGACAAAGAGTTCTCACGTACCTGTGGAAGCAGCAAGGAACAAACTATCCCAAAAGTGACTTCAAAGTTGTCTTTAAACCACAGGCCAACTGCATGGATACAGCCTCGCACATGGATAACGTCAACCAGTTGCAGTCGCTGCAAGCAGAACAAAACCAGGGAGTAAGATATTTTGAAAGCCAATGGGAGTTGGGAGCCTAACTGCTCTTTGTGCCTTTGAAGTGATCCAGGTTGCCAGTGATTAGATTCCAAGGTATATGTTACACTCGGAGGTAACTTATTTCTTTGCAATATTCACTTCCAAAGCTTTTTATACTAGGTATGTAAAAAATGCATCTTTTTAAAGAGTGGATGCAATTCTTACACAATGCACTGAAATTAGGGTAAACCTCATGGCTAACCTTCACTTTCCTTGTGCATTTAACATTCAAACCCAAAGCCTTTCTACCTAAAACTATAACAACTTCAGCCAGATCAGTTTGATCTGCATTTTTCGGCTGTGGTTACTAGATGTATTTTCTGTGAGATCTCTGAAAGTGCGTCACCATGCACAGACTTCTCTCTTTCCTAAATGAGCCCATCTGTCTGCTAAAACCTGGGAACAAAATAAGGGACAGCCATAAATGCTAAAAAAGGATTGCTCTTACGTGGCTGTAATTTCACTGGCCTTGATAGAATTTGTGCAGTGCAGTAGCAGCAAAATGCATCACAGTAAATTATGGGTATTGACCTCCCCTGCCTACAATGGAGGCCTATTAAAATGACCTATGATATCTAAGGTATTGGAGCACATTTGAGTCAGCAGCTGTGTTTAACTTGTGTATCTGCATTGGGCTTATGGTACTGCTGTTGCTTTTCTTAATCCCATTGAGAGAACAGAGGCTGCATTTTGATGATGTATGATTTTAAGAGGAAACTAGCTGCAAAATATTCAGGATACGAAAAAAAACTAATCCAGAGCCTTAGAGATCATTCACAAATTAGAAGACAAAAAGGGGTGAATTCTAGTCTCATTTATCTGGTGTATCCCAGTTTGGAACGGGCCCAAGAAAGACTCCTTCAGCTCAGAAAGATGTGTCATGGTCTGTGAGATGGAGTCTAGCACTTCTGCTGAGTCACTGGTTTAAATCCAGTCCAGGTTAATAGTGGCCAAAAATCGTTAGCATAGGCAGCCTAAATGAAGTAAGTTGACAGTCTTTAGAGTGCACCTGTGCATCCACAAGACAAAACGATTGCACAGCTAATACCCCCATTGGCAGTTTTCGAAAAGATGGGAGACTGAATCCACTTGAGGGCTAAGAGCTGTATTAGGGGAACTTTGTCTTGCTACTGTTATCAACACACTGAAATTTACAAGCATTCAGAACAGGGAGGTCATGGGGCAGATGGTTGATTTCACCTTCTTAAAATTCCTATTGCACATTGCTATAAACTGGAAATTTTAATTATGCTTCTATAATATTATAGACATGGACCAAACAGATTCAGGGCTACATTACAACTATGCCAGCTCGAACTTTGTGTTACAGGTGATAAAAGGGCACTGTGCCAGGGGGGGTATCTGGAAGCATCATACCTATGCTGTGCAGGAGCTGGGGAAAACAGTGCTCAGAAAAAGCAACAAACCAAACCAAACCAACTGCAGCGTGTGCTCCTAGCAGCATTGTTAGGTGTATAGTATGGGCAGGGCTCTGTCCATGTACCCATTTCCACCTGGTCATGTGCCGTTTGGGGCGTACAGCACTGTAAGTAGTGCTAATGGTCCTCTCCACGCATACCCTGTGCTCACAAAGCACTAGCTTTAATATTGAGACACCTGCAATTCGGCCCTTAATGTTATAGTCAATGAGATAATCCTGTATGTACATGTAATGTACCATATCTGGAAAGGTCAAGCATTGATCCCTGGATCTAGAAGCATGAACCTCTACTGCCTGAGCTAAAACATAGCCTCAAAGGCTGTTCTGGAAATAAGAGAACAGAATATCCAGTTCCCTGAAGTCCCCAAATCAGATCACTCAGGAATTCAGTGTCGGAAAACAATCTAGTTGCTGTTACTTAGAGAAAATGCTAATAGGCATATAAACACCATCTCTCCCTCTCTACTGCATGCCCAAATCCCATCCTACACAAACAGTTTTCCAGCAAACCACCATTGCCTTTTGCACTCCATCAGTTCGGTCTTTGACTTGCCTTCAGATTTCATAATTCCCTCTCCTTTACATAGAAACAAAACCCAGAGCAGCACGAGTTTCTAAGCCGGGGTGGCCAACCTGAGCCTAAGAAGGAGCCAGAATTTACCAATGTACATTGCCAAAGAGCCACAGTAATATGTCAGCAGCCCCCCATCAACTTCCCCCACCCGCTCCCAGCGCCTGCCGATCAGCAACTCCTGATCAGCTGCTTTGTGGCGTGCAAGAGGCTCTGGGGGGGAGGGGGAGGGGGAGGAGCGAGGGCACTGCAGCTCAAGGGAGGGGGGAGTAGGGGCAGGGCCAGGGGTTGAAGAGTGAGCCCCCCCCGGGCACACTGGAAAGTTGGCACCTGTAGCTCCAGCCCTGGAGTCGGTGCCTTTACAAGGAGCCGCATATTAACTTCTGAAGAGCCGCATGTGGCTCTGGAGCCCCAGGTTGGCCACCCCTGTTCTAAGCCTTTGAGATGATCTGTTTGCTGAATTCCAGACAGACTGAAGGCTTTTTGTTTACCCACCCAGAGTGTCAAGCTCTGAATTTGGGGTAATGACAACAGGTGTGTGTTGGTCTAGTAGTCAGAGCAAATCACTAGGAAACAACTCTTTGGTTCTGTTCCTACCTCTGAAGCGGGGCTGCTCAGCACCCTCAGCCCTCTCTAATGGAAGCTGACGATGGCTAGCACCTTTCAGATAGGCCCTGTATGACCTTGGGAAAATGACTTAGCCTGTCTCTGCCTCTGTTACCTGTCAATTGTATAGAATATTACCTACCTCACGGGGGTATCCTGAGGCTTAATGCTAAATAATAAATTGTTGCACTTCTGGCACCTTCCTCCAGAGGATCTCAAAACATTTCACATCAAGTAGAAGAGATGCATGGACCAGACTCCGGTGAGGAAGGGAAGTATGGTGCCCATTTTACAAGATGTGGAAATTGAGGCATGCTGCTCCTAGATCACACAGTCGGATAGATACAGAACGGAACCATGGTCTCCCGACATCCAGTCCTGGGATCTACCCACAAAACCAACCTGCCTCATTTTTAATTAATCGTTGTGAAGGAGGAAAGGTGCTGTAAAACTGCAAATCGTTATTTTTATTAGGAGTTTTTACAGATTGTCTCTAATGCACTTAAAAAAGCACTCAGAGACTGTAAACTCTTTGGGGCAGGGACCCTCTGTTCTTTAGCACAAGGGGGCCCTGATCCTTGAGAAGGGTGGACAGGTGCTACTGCAATACAAATAAATAACAATACTATATAAATAACGTGTTCCACAACACCATCTGCCACTTCTGAGAGAAGAGATTCCTATAGGTGGGGCAACTTCAGGCTATCAGGAACTCAGCTGGCCCCAGCATGGTCATTAAGCAGCTCAATGAGCTTGGCTGGGCCCAATAAACCCTCCTTAAGTGACTGTGGCCCTGACCATTGGCTTGTCTCCGACCACACTTCTACTTCTGCTCCGACCACTAGACTGCATCGCCTACGCCCCAGTGTGTTACACAGGCCTTAGTTGGTGGGATTAACAAGTTATCCACCTTGAAGAGCTCAGCAGTACTCATTGGTCAACCATCTGGGGTAAGAGCAGCTCCCCCCCCACACACACACATTGTGGGTTGGCTACAAAAAGAAAAGCAATTGCACAGAGAGAGCAATCTCTGGGCAGCCGTGGAGAGGAGAAGCAGCCCCACAAACCAAAGATGACACCCTCCTCCGAGATGCATACTCAGAGATTAAACAGGATGACAGTGAAATGCTACCTCAGTGAAGTAGGTGAGTATGACAGGTGAGGACACTCCCCACGTGATTCCAAGCCTTTTTAAGACCGTAGACAACCTTCCTGTCAGATCTGGAGTTGAAAGCCTTTCAAAGGGCAAACCAACCTGTCATGAAAACGCACAATTCATACACTTTGCTTTACCCCCTTTTGGTTGTTGTTGTTTGACAGGCTGCACCGTGCCCTCCTCACCTTTTTAATTATCATGTTTGTCACATAGAATCAGCTGGGGACGAGGAGATGACAGGTTTAATGATCTTTCTAAGCTATGAACACAAGTTTCTATTTGCAGTGGACATGTTTATTTTCGGAGGCATCATGCTTCTGGGCTCAGGATCTGCATGACAAGCCAGTTGTAATTGATACATCAGACAGTCCTTTATAAAGAAGAGTTTAGCATTCTGGCTTTCTGATTTCTTTTTCTATTTGCGAAGCAGCTTTTTAACTTAATTATTCCCAAATGAATAATGTGTGGGTGGGAAAGGTTCTGGGTGAACGCCCTTTATTACATAGCTACTAAAGAGCATTTTACAGCATATACGTTTGTATTTATAGCGGCAGCTTAAGCTTGAGCTTCCATGGTTTGTCTTCCCCTTTGACAGTAATGAAATCTTTCCTTTCCCCATTAGCCAACTAACAGAAATCATAGTTATGTATAGAATTAACTAGGTGGCAGGGCAAGGTGCCGCATGACAAATTTCATTCTAATGTGGCAAGGATGGCTCAGTGGTCTAATAATCAGACTTGAAAGTTGCTAGAGGTAAAGGTTCAAATTTGGCCCTTGGCCTTTCTGAATTTGATAAGTTGCGCTCCATTCAATTTACTCATTATAGACGAGACCTTAAAAGTCCCAAGGCCTTCTCCGCTCTGTGCAGACCTTACAAATCTGAGGATGCTTATGATAAGAGTGGGGGTCGTGCTCTGGCAGCATTGTTAACAAATGTTATGCTCCTCCCATGGCTGAGGCAGGGACCAGGTCTCTCTCTCTGTTTGGACAGCAGCTGGCACAATGAGGTCCTGATCTTCCTGGAGTTGCTGAGAGTGACCCGAATATTAAGCATATAACAAGAATAATAAATTACAGTGATTGTGTGGGGAACCAAGTGACTGCTGCATGCCCCTCTCCAGAGATGGATGCCCTGCATTTTAGTGGAGACATGATGTCCTTAGGAATGAAAGGTGCTTAAAAAAAAAAAAAAAAAAAAAAAATCAGCTATTTATCTGTCTTGTGGTAATGACTATTAGGCCCAGTCATGGATCCTACTGTGCTAGGTGCTGTACAGACATTACAGCAAGACAGTCACTGCCCCAAAAACTGACACCACAAGGAATTTCTGTCCATCGCTCAGGCTGCTGGAAAGCGGACTGCTATTCTCGGATAGAAGGTGTTTTTTTTTTTAAACGAAACCCATCACAAAAATAGCTTAGTTATAAAAATACAGAGAAAATACCCCCAATTAAGCCTTCCTCAGCTCATCAGCTATTAGAAAGAAGGTACATTTATTAATTTGTTTAGTTCTGATGCAGCAGAGGATTGGATTTATAGCAGATGAGAAAACCCGGAGAGACACCTCTCTCATTTTTAGGCACCCTAGTGACTGATTAGACACACGACAAATCAATAGGAAAATGAACAGCAATTCATGAAGCAGGACATTGACCAAATAACCCTGCAGCACAAATAAGATATACTGCACTCTCCCCAACACCACCTCTCAAAGCAGTATTCCTTCCTCAGACTCCTCTTAAGAGGAAAAGCTTTGCAGTGTGCCCGAATCATCCAATCTTGCATATAGCTCCCAAAGTAGCATATGCCTTTAGAATGGATGGCCCATGAAGGAGGAGCCAGCAAGCAGAGAGCTACATTGCAAATGAAAGGCATATGTTACCTCTTTTTCAAGGGTCTTGTATCCACACAGAGTGTTGATGACTTCTCCAGGGACCTATTAACAGAAACATTGTTTCAGGCTTAGAGCAGAGTTTTGAGGAAACGCAAAAAAATCCTGAGACATATAAAAGCTGCTACCACCGCCTCTGGAGCTTGGGTCTCAGACCTTTCATCACAAACACAGGACAGGTAGTTAACAAGCCTCTGACTTTGACATCAGTGGGGACTTTTTCCAACACAACACAAAAGCTATAGACTAAGCAATATACTCCCAGAGCTTTCTAACTGATGCCTGAGAGTCAGTAATATGCATGCATTTCCCACAGCAGCAGTGAGGTCTTTCCCATCCAGCCATCTTAGCCAATTTCACGCTGGCTAATGCAGAGCTGCTACCTACAATGTGATGTCCAGTGCTTTGCTGAGTCCAGTTGCAATGATTCAGGGAGGGGCTCCTACTGATTCATTTGGGAGTTTATACAGCTTCCTATTAGGAAAATGTTCTTTATTTTCTCTTTGTTTAATTTCATTCCATTATTCCTAGTTATATGGCCTATTACACCACCTTCAATAACATCTCTCCCCTTGGGGTGATCTAGGTGCTTCAGGAATCAGGGCCTATACCATCGTTGGAGAACTTTATAACATTAGAACACAAACTCTCATTCTCTATGGTCCATGGGACTTTTCCACGAGAGGTTTAGAAACTGGCTTGGGAATTACAAAGGAGCAGGTTTCCTGTGAGTGGCCCACCATTTCCATCCCAGTAGTGTCAGAGAGCAGACTTTCTGTTTTTTGGTCATTTTGATTCTTGATAAAACCCGGAAAGGCAGAGACGCTTGAGAATTGTCAGGGAAGTTAGCAGAAGGCCTGCTGACATGACGGAACTCACCACACCTCAGGATCAGGCCTATAATGCATGTTCACTTATTTTGTGGATCAAACAGAAGCTTTCTCATTTCAAGGCAATAAGCTGAGGCGAGGCGTATATTTCAAAAAGGTGCGTTGTGTCCATACAATGGCCACATTGAAAGCATAATAATTTTAGCAATGAGATGATTTTGGCAACCAGTAAAAGCTGCTGGACAACAAAACAAACTTGCCATGTTTTAGAGACGCAGAGATGAAAAGGAGCAATGTGCACATTTTGGAGCAAAATTGTGCTTTTCTGTAAAACAAGGTATAAAAGAAACGGTAGAACAGGCTGCAGCCATTAAGCCCCAGTCTGTTCCTTCTATAATTGGTGAGGAAATTATTCTAACATTTCTTTACCACAAATAGTCATTTCGACAATATGTTACTGCTCAGGGCTATTGTAAAACACGCCTTTTCCAATTTCCAGTTATGCACTGCTAATCTGCCTGTCTGTGGCAAACAGAACAGAGTTAAAAAGGCTGATATAGCTCCATTGCTCAGGAATGCGTATGTGCATTATACAGGGCGCACGGGTGAAATCCGGGCTGCACTGAAGTCAATGGGAAAGCTCCCATTGACGTCAGTGGGATCAGGATTTCATCCTTTGGGTCTGCTTCTCATTTGCACCATTCGGCCAGTGCAGTGGGGCCTTTGAACGAGGGCAAATGTAATTCACACCTGTATTAAGGCCCCATGATGTTGCCAGAATGGTATAAAGGGGGCTTTTGTGTCACTGAGAACCAGCCCTTTAAGGCGAGTCTACACTTACACTGCGTTGGCCCAGTTGCACCAATGGGTGCACCACTGTAACGCTTTAATGAAGAGAGTTCTCCGGTTGGTGTAGATAAGCTCCCTCCCCGAGAGGCAGTAGCTATGCTGATGGGGTCGACATGGCAGCATCTACACAGGGGGTTAGGTTGGTATAATTACGTCATGCAGGGATGAGTTTTTCACACCCCTGAGTACATAGTTATACCAGGCCTGAATCTTGCTTGACTTACAGTTCTGGAGCCTTGCTATTTCACCTGTCCTGCATGAAAGCAGGGTTTTGGTTTTTGTTAAACCTGTTATTCAATGGATTGCACCCTGCATAGCAATAAAACTGTCATAGGACACATCTCCAGGACTGTACCAGGTACACAGGGCCCAGGGACCTCCCATGCTGAGCCAATGACCTGTTATGACCCTCCTGAAGTGCTGATGCTTCCACGTAGAATGGTGTCTAAAAATGCAGCTGTGGTCTAATGCCCCCTCAAGTACTTTTTGCGGTGGAATGCAACATTGAAGCCATTAAACCAACTGTCCTCTGCACCGGACTACTTTGCCTGAAGGGAAACATGATATGTAATGAGCTTAAGGTTTGCAAATCTTTATGTTTAATTCATACTAACCAACACGTTTCCCCTCCAAGCTCAATTTTAGTGCCACCACAGCATGGCCAGGCCCTGGGGGACAATGATACTTACCCACTTTTGTTAAGCACTTTGAGATCTATGGCTGACAAGTGCTGAGTATTAGGGGAGAACGTCTCATTGCGAGCAGAAGGCAGGACTGTAGAGCAGCGAAGACGCTAGCTCACCATGCAGGTTCACAGAGCTGAGAATAGAATTGCCAAGTCGATATCACGGCTCCATAGTTTTAGAGAACCCCCCACTCCCACCAGAAGGGAGTATTAGGATGAAACTAGAGCTGGATGGGAAACAATTTTCCTACCCTGTGAACATTTTCTAAATATTTCCCATTCCAGATCAGAAAATTGAGGGTTTCTGAGGTTTTTCACAGAACGGAAGGCTGTGGGGTGGCAAATGGAGAGAAACACACATTCCCCTCCCCGGAATTGCTAGTAGCTCAGTGGTTAGGGCATTCCTGTGGGATATGGGACACCTGGCTTCAAATTCCTGCTCTGCCTGATTCAGAGCAAATACTTGAACCTGGGTCTCCCACTTCCCCAGTGAGCATGCTAACCACTGGGCTCTACATACAGATACGTGTTTTGACTAGCAATTTCACTGTGGACCCGAGAAACCTTTCCCGGTGAGAGTCTCGTCAGAACTGGGGTAGTTTTTTGTGAAAAGTTTCAGTTTTGACAAATCAACATTTTCTGATGAAAAACTTTTGTTGAAAAATTTCCCAACCAGCTCTAGGTAAAACTCTATGTGGTGAACCTTGTGGTGGTTTTTCCCAAGTATTTTCTTCCCCTGGGTTCTACCCAGAAGGGTTGCATTAGGACCCAATAACATCAACATCCATGAAGTCTTTTGAGCTGTCTTTGCAAGAGACAGTGTTTCATGCACTTCTGGAAAAGTCTTACAGAATTTAATCACAGAGAAACTTTCTACAGGTTCTGCATCTTATAGAATTTAAATAGAAAAGCATAGCCTTGTAAAATTTTGGGGCTTGGGCTTGTATTTCTAGGTGTTTGTACAGTGTCCAACTATTTTGGGGTGTGAATAAAGTATATCTATAATGATGTTGCTATGGAATTCCATGGGTTGAGCCAAAAATCTATTGCATGGGTAACTTTCGCACTCAAATAGAATATTTTCTATGCAAACCTGTTGAATTTCAATAAAAATCCTATTGGCATAATCCCTATTAAATTCTATAGGATTTGTCCATAAGGGTTCTGTCATCGATTAATTTTTTTAAATGTATTTGTCTGGCACTTTCTCCTAATCCAGCTATTTCCAACTTTGCATTAAATGACTCAGGGTTCTTTTATCATCTCAATTTCCTGCCCCGGTGCCCACACAGCCATCAGCTTCAGTAATGACATCATGACACCTGCTCCCAGCTGCATCAGATATTTCTGGTACACCGATCCCATTCTGGTCTATTTAGCTTTTAAATATGTCTGTTCTAGCTTTTGGATTTCATCTGTGCCAATCTCTTCTCTCTTTCTATTAACAGATATTTTAATTTCCTTGAACAGAAAGACCTTGATAGATAAGATGTGGGAGAAACATGGGTTTTCAAATAACATTTATATTCACTGTATTATTGGCCCATTATCAGCTATATTAATTTTAACATGCAAGGTGGCCAATAGCAGCTTGCAAATAGCCTTTCTAAATGCTGACAAATTCTACAAGTGCTTGTATACCAATGCTAGAAGGCTAAATACTATGATGGGTGAACCTGAGTGCTGGTTTTAAATGGGGATATTGATATAGTAGACATCACAGAAACTTGGTGGAATGATGCTAATCAATGGGACACAGTAATACCAGGGTACAAAATATACAGTAATTACAGAATAGGTCATGCTTGTGGGGGAGTATCATTATATGTGAAAGAAAGCATAGAGTCAAATATAGTAAAAATCTTAAATGAATCAAACTGAACCACAGAATCTCTATGGATAAAAATTCCATGCTTTAATAATAAGAGGATAGCAGTAGGAATATACTACCAACCACCTGACCAGACTGCAAAATGCTCAGGGAGATTAGAGAGGCTATCAAACCAGAAAACTCAATAATAATGGGGGATTTCAGCTATCCTCATATTGGCTGGGTATCTGTCACTTCAGAATGGGATGCAGAGCTAAAATTTCCTGACACCATTAATGACCGCTTCTTGGAACAACTAATCCTGGAAACCACAAGAGGAGAGGCAATTCTTGAGTTAGACCTAAGTGGAGCACAGGATCTGGTCCAAGAGGTGGATGTAGCAGAATCGCTCGATAATAGTGACCATAAGGTAATTAAATTAACATCCTTGTAGGGGGGGAAATACCAAAGACACTCACCACAGTAGGATTTAACTTCAAAAAGGGGAAAGACACAAAAATGAGGAATCTAGTTAAAGGGAAATTAAAAGGAATAGTCACAACAATAAGAACGAGGAGTACTTGTGGCACCTTAGAGACTAACAAATTTATTTGGGCATAAGCTTTCGTGGGTTAAAACCCACTTCTTCGGATGCATGCAGTGGAAAATACAATAGGTGTGTACACACACACACACACACACACACACACACACACACACAAACACAGAGAACATGAAAAGATGAGAGTTGCCTAAAAGTGGCAATTCTTCAACAACAAAACTTCAAAAAACAGACTCCAATGAGAAACTGCAGAACTGGAATTAATTTGCAAACTGGACACCATCAAATTAGGCCTGAATAAAGACTGGG